CCTAATTTACGAATCTTACAAAGAAGTAACAGTAAAATTATAAGAGCTTAATAAATATTTGGAAGGTTTAATTTAATTAATATCTCTGAGACATTATAATTTTATGATTTCCAAAAACTTTTGAAATGGAAGAGGCCTGGGTAATTTTAAAGATCACTTCATACCTGAGTTTATATGACCCAATGAATTAAACCAAGCAGAGATCACTGACAAAAGTTTTCTCAGAACTGCCCTGGGGCACTCTTACTTACCCCTGAAAGGAAGAACAATTCCTAAAAGGAAGTAGTGGCTTAGTCCAAGAATATTGTTGTAGGTAAGAGCACATACGTTGAATTCTATAAAACAGGGATTACAATAGCTACCTCATAGGTTTATTATGTAGATAAAATAAGATTATAGCCCTGGCCGGTTTGGCTCAGTACTTAGAGCATTGGCCCGTGGACTGAAGGGTCCCAGGTTCGATTCCGGCCAAGGGCTTGTACCTCTGTTGCAGGCTGATCCTGGGCCTCAGTCAGGGTGCATGCGGGAGGTAACCAACCGATGTGTCTCTCTCACATCGATGTTTCTCTCACTCTCCCTCCCCTTCTCTGTCTCACCCTTCCGCTCTCTCTGAAAAGCAATGGAAAAAATATCCTTGGTGAGGGTTAAAAGATAATAATAATAAAGTTACGTATTTTTAAATGGCTCAACAAGCTATCAAGCCACAAAAAGATATGGAGGAGGCCTGGCCTGTGTGGCTCAGTTAGTTGGGCACCCTCCCATGCACCGAGAGGTTGCCGGTTAGATTCCCGGTCAGGGCACATGCCTGGGTTGTGGGCTCCATCCCCATTAGGGGTCTGCAGGAGGCAGCCTATTGATGTTTCACACTGACACTGATGTTTCTCTCTCTCTCTTCTCTCTTCCTCTCTCTCTCTCAAAAAAAAAAAAAATCAATAAAATATATGTATATTTTTAAAAAGACATGGAGGAAACTTAAATGCATATTGCTAAGTGAAAGAAACCAGTCTGAAAAGGCCACATACGCTGTGTGATGAGACCAATGGTTGCCAAGGGTTGAGGGGGGCAGGCAGGGAAGGGTGAGTAAATGGAGGGCTGTTTAGCAGTGAAACTGTTCTGACCCTGCAGTGGTGGACACGCAATACCATGCATTTGGCAAGACCTATAGAACTGTACAATACAAAATGTGAAACCTAATGTAACCTATGGGCCTTAGTTAATAATAATACCAATATTGGCTCATCAGTAGCAACAGATGTACCACACTACTGCGAGACGTTAATAAGAGGCTGTAGATCTTGGGGGCTGCCAAGACCTAAAACAAGAGAAACTTACTGTCTCACAGCCTGGAAGCCAGCAGCCTGAAGTGAGTGTGCCAGCGGAGACACGCTCCCTCTGAGGACTAGGGAAGCATTTCCTCTGTGCCTCTGTCCCACCGTCTGGTAACCTCAGGTGTCCTTACACGCCATCCTCCCGTGCACTCTCCCTGTGTCTTCACATCACCTCCCCTCTGGGTGTTTCATAAAAACACCGGTCATATGGGATTACAACCCATCCTAGTAACCTCATCTTAGCTTGACTCCATGTGCAAAGAACCTATTTCCAAAGAGGGTCACATACGGAGGTCCTGGGAGTTAGGGCTTCAGCCTAACTGGGAGTACGCAATTCAGTGCAAATACAGAATAAATTGGGGGCAGAGGTGAAGGAAAGCATATATATGGGAACTCTAGTTTCTGTTCTTTTTTTTAAACTTAAAACTACTCTAAGAAATAAATTTTATTGATTTAAAAAAGATTTTTAAAAGTCCTAGCACATAGTACATGTTCAATAAATGTTAGTTATTTTGGAAGCTGAGTTAACTTATTCAAAGTCCCTGACACAACAGGTTTTATTCTTGATGTATTTCAAGACCAGTATTGGTACTGCCCCCAAATCCCAAAGACCTTTCCCCACCCATCACCATTCAGTTTATGATCATTTGAGGGTAGACAGGACTTAGCTTTCACCACATGGCTTCTGCGCCTAGTAACCGAGTGCTTGCAGGGTCATTCCCCAAAGGAAAGGCACCGTGTTAATGATTTGAAATCGGTCACACTGACTTATTGCTTACTTAGGGCAGCATAGGTGTGCCCCGTTTTAGGAGAATCTGGTATTTGAGAAGCCACGTTGAAAAGACAGATCTACCAGTAGGTAATGATTCACTTGCCTTTGTAAAGAGTTTTCCCCCTTTACAAAAGGAGTCACATCAGAGTTCTTTCAATAGCATGACTACGACCACCCCCAACACAAAACTTCAGCTTTTCATAAAGCTTCTCAGGAGCCCACCTGTGACATCCATTGACATACGTGTCCTTCAGCCGGCATTTCTCTCTCAGGCTGCCCTGTCCGATGGCGACACTCAGGAGCTCCGCAGTTTACAGAATCTCTCTGCCCTGACACTTCGCTGCATGGGTTGAGAGTGTGTTTCCTAACCCATGTTGCTGGAAGGAATTCAACAATGACTGGGGCTAGGGGAGGAAATGAGACATGACTAGCTGGGGACCAGGAAGCTACTGCTCTCAAAAGGGGGGGAACCACTTACAACTCTACCCGGACTTGGGTCCCCTTGCATGAGAACAGGGCCGGAGAAGTTCAGAGAGGCTCTGTGATGGGAAGGCCATGTGAAGACTAGAAAGATCTTCACTCCATGGCGGTGATACCAACCAAGAGCCATTTCCACAAGCACACACGCCTTCTCTGCCACACAACACGCACACACACGACAACCAAGAGTCACAGCACACGGTACAGATGTCCCTTGTCCTTCCTCTCTTGGCTATACCCAGCGCATGTCCGCAAGGCAGAAGGCACCTGCCTATGTCGATGCAGTCTCTTTCCAAGGGCCTCCCCGCGGGCCCCACATAGGATCAGATCAGCAGCACCCAAATGAGTAAGTCCCTAGGCAGACATAGACTTTGTCTAGGGTCGGCAAAGGAAGAAATGCTTAAGTAATAAAAGGCGAGGAGTGGGAGGAGAGGGCGGGTGGGAGGAAAGGCATTCGTGTGGGTAGAGAGCCAGGGAGCTGGCCAGCCGAGGTGACCGCCTGAGGGTGGTCAGTTTGGAGACACCCCAACATGTGCATCTTCCCCACCTGGGAACAGCTCTCTGGCTGCTCGTTCCGCCTCCCCAGAGGTGTCGGCTGAGACACTGGCACCCCCTGGAACCCCCGAGGCTCACAGGGAGCCCGCCTGACTGCTTAGCCTGGACGAGGGAGGAGCTGAGGCTCAGGATGCTCTTCAAGCTACTTGGATAAATTAAGGAAAGTTAAATTGTTTGCCTCCAGGCAGACCTCTTTCTCCCATTCCTGTTTGCTGTTGCTATAGTTATGGAGAAGTGGCTTATATGCAACAAAAGACTTTATTGAAAAAAGGAAAGAACAGAGTTTACTCTCTACCCCCTGCCCAGAACAGGAGCCCGTCCCTGGGACCCTCAATTCACTTTTTTCTTTTTTGCATTCTGATTACTATGATGAGACCAGGCTGGAAAAGGTACAGAAATTTCTTCATGATTGATGAAATGATTTTTTTCTTTTTAAAAAAAAAAAAAAAAGGAAAATTGATTCTTTCCTTCATAACTAGCAACGTCTTAGAAAGTACACTTGGTAGGAGTAAGATAGAAAAACACCTCCCAATTTAAAAACCCGAAATAAGCACCAGAATCTGAATTTCTAAATAATTTATAAGCAGTATAAATAGTACCCTGGGGGAGAAGAAAGGGGGAAAATTCAAACATTGGATAGTTTTGTTTCTGTTGGCTGAGGTTTTATTTTTGTTTGTGTGGGTTTGTGAAGGGGGCATACGCTTGAAAATAAAAAAGAATCTGACTATTTAAGAAGGGCTCCGACCTTGGCTTCAAAACCTCAGCGTTGCTGTTTGCCCTCTCCAACCAAGATGCAGTAGGGGATGGGATGGCTTTTAGGTTCTGCACGGCTCCTTGTTTTCTTCCGCAGAGCAAATGGCTCGTCTCATGTGCACAGAAAGGGCTGGAAAAGATTTTTTGTGATCTGAGTGCAGCAGAGAGCACCAGAGGAAGTGGAGGCCTCCCGCTCCACAGGAAACAATCTTCAAGCAGCCCTTAAATGCCAGATTCCAGGCCGAGTTTAACTAACCACTGACAGCTCTGTAAACAAAGCAAGGACAAAAAGCGCCCGCTTCCCCTTTTCTGGTAGTCATTTCGGGTTCGGGGGCTGCAGGGGAATTCTGGAACACTTGGCTCCATGGCCCAGACACGAAGGGCAAGCGGGCTCCTCAGCTGAAGAGCTGGAAAGGCAGGATCTTCCCGGGATTAAACCATCACGGAGGAGGCAGGAGAGGTAAAGCCGGGGCTCCCCGTGAGCCGGGCTCGGGGGCTCCGGAAACAGCCTGATCCTAACGCCAGGGCTGGAAAAATGCTGCTGCGCCCAGCTCCCGGCCGCGCTCCTGACACCCCTTTATTATCACTCGGAGCTGAGCTTCTCTTAGCATATGCAAGCTCTGCCCGGGTGCTAGTATTATTTTAGTTCCCTTTTACTTTTTTCCTTCTTGGTTCCTACACAGTCCCTTTCTGGCCAGTTTTCTTTTCTTCGCTCCTGTTTTCCTCTTTCTTTGTTCGCTTTTTCATAACTTCTGTCTGTGTGTGGCTCAGCGAGTTACAAAGAACAAAATCTTTCAGGAGCTCCTAAGGGAGCCCATCAGTATTTCAAGTCTTCAGAACCTCTCTGTCTCCTGAGGTCTTGATTTATTTATTTTTTTAACCGGAATCCTGGAATCTTACTTATTTTTCTCTAATAGTTTCCCGAATGAGACTGAATTTAGCACCTAAAGGACTCGGCTCAGGAGTCAGACATTGATCACTGGCTCTTCGCCAATCTTCTAAGGTGTTTTTCTTAAGAAGAAAGAAAAAAATGAGGGAATGAAAACGTGGTGGGGGTGGGAAATAACAGCTCCGACTCATCGATGATATTGATTCTGCCTCCTTGCCTGTAGATCCAGACATCACCTGGTCTCCCTAAGCCCGAAACCACGCCATGGATGACTTTGAACGTCGCAGAGAACTCAGGAGGCAAAAGCGGGAAGAGATGCGCCTGGAAGCAGAAAGGTAAGGATCTGGCTTGAAAAATATTTCTGTATTGTGTTATCAACAATGTTGGCCTCAGGTCTCAGAGATCATCACTCTGAAGCGCCGAGTGCATTGCACACTAAACTGTGCGACGGTAGTTATGGAAAATTTTCCTGTTAGTGCTCCACATTCTGCCTTGAAAAACAAACAAACACAGAAAAAGAGAGATTCGAGAAGCAGCAGAAAGTTGCATTTATTTAGTGCCTTTCACAGTGGAATTTTTAAATGACAAAGGCAATGTGTGGATAAAAGTTTCTGAAGCAGTTATAATATTAAAATGACATGAGAATGGCAAACATTGAATATTGAAGCCATTTAGGAAATGGAAGTTGGTCTAAAAAAGTAAAGACAGCAAGTCTCAGATGCGTCTTGTGACATATTTTTACTCTTCATTAGAAAGGCACGCAAATGCAGTAATCCCAGTGTTATGGGTTGATAGCCAGTGGGTATGTTACTGTGCAGATTCTGAGTCTAGTTGAAGCTGTTACATTGTGTGAGGCCTCTGTCTGGTGACTTCCAGGGCAGGTTGGGGGAATAAAACAATGACATGTGAAGCACATGCATATTTTAATTTTTTTGACTTCAGAGCAAAGGAAAGTGGCATTTAATGTGGCTTAAATCAGATGATCTTTTGAGAAAGCAGAGTCAGCATTCACAGGAAGAAAAATGTTAAACAATGATCTTAAAATCAAATCAATGTTGCCTCACAGTGATTCCAGTGCACAAATGAAAAGGTGGTGGTAAGGTGATCCCTTAGCGATTCTGCAGTAGAAAACTGGAACTTGCACCTATAACAAAACGTATTGGGGTCCGTAGGCTCTACTGATTTGTATGGACAATGCAAAAGAAGAAGGTAAAATTACTTCCTTTGATGAACTTGGTCAGAGTAGGCTGCCATTCATGAAATGTCTATGCACACACATGTATGCACCATGAACCTGGGCTCTGTGGGTTCGAACCCCAGCTCTGCCACTTCTGAACTGTGTGGGCATCAATGGGCAAGTGACTTCTTTCTGGGTCACCGTTGACTTATTTGTAAAATAGGCATAATATCTACATAGTTTGTGTGGTTGTTGTGAAGATTATTGAACTTCATGAATGACCTAGCTCAGTACCTGGCACATAGTAGGCTTCCATAAATGGCAGTTATTATTTTTTTAATTTTAGTTTTAATCGTTAGCATTAGCTAAATAAGTAAGAAACAAAGTATCAATATAGCCAGAACTAAACATGAACTCCAAGAGAAGGAAAGGCAATCATCATCCTGTGATGAAACTAGCCAGGAAAAGCTCCTTGGAAGTGGTAAGCTATGGAGGACGTCATCATGGTGACAAAGGGTGGAAAGGGAGCCATGTAGGTGAGGGAATCATACCAGCAAAAACCCAGAGGTGGAACTAAGTCCTAAGTGCTTGGGGAAGAGTAAGTTGGACTTGTACCTCTTGGATGTTTCCATTTCACATAAAGGGCAATGGACAGAGACTTAACAGGGGAGCTGTGTGTGATGAAATGTGTTAGAAAAAGTCATCGACAGTGAACTAGAGGGTGGGGATACCTGCATTGGAAGAGTTAGTATTGAACACACAGTAATGAGGTCCTGAATCAGGGCAGCAAGTATGAAAACAAAGGTCAAATATAAGTGTCTTTATAGTGGGAGAAATACCTACTCTTTCAGGAGAGGGAGAGATTCAAGACAGTTCCAAGGAGTATAAATCTTGAGGAACTGGAAGGAAGGTCTCTGCACTGTCCCAGTGGGGAAACTGGGATGGGTTCCATTCTTGGGCAGGCATGGGGGTGGTGTTTAATTTAAGCTAGAAGCCATACCCAAATGGAGAGTTCCTCCAGGCATTTGGAGATAGAAGATTTCAATGTTTGTTCAGAAAGGGAGAGAAATTACTATTAGAGTAGTAAGTTTGGGCACACTCAGTGTGGCAGTAGGAGTACAAACGCTGAAGGTGGGTGGTAGAGAGAGCAAGAGGCCATAGCGACATATGGAAACCATCAAAGAAGACCCCAAAAATCAAGGAAGTAGGGAGAACAAGGGAGAGTATGGGCGCCCAGTGTTGACTGGACATTGAAGCCATGTGGGCAGTGCCCAGGCCCAGGGGAACATACCTCTTAGTCTCTCCAACGATGTGTTATTTGGCCTCCAGTTCTCCTGAAAGTCCACAAAATATCTTTACCCAGCAAATATTTATTAAGCACCGACCAAGTTTCAGAGCATGTGTTAGGGACAAAGAAAATAATGGTGAGATAGAAATAGACATGGGCTCTGCCTTTATGTCCCTCCTGCTAAGCTTGGAAACCGAAGTACAGCAGGGTCAGAAATCAGGCCAGAGTGGGGGGCAGGCCTACCAGAATGGGGGCTAGAGGGACTCAGGGATGAGGGCAGGGAACTGGGCATCAGGCTAGATCAGTGTCATCGGCGCCTTAGCTTTCTGTGTGAGTAAGGAGACAGGGAATCAATGTGAGAGGAGTGCTGGAACGAACTTTCTGTGGTTAGAGCCATACTGTAATTAGAGTGAATAGACCAGGCCTCTTTAGAACCAGGATTTTGCCCAAGAATTTTCCACACAGCTGCATAGTTCGTTCCTTCCAGTCTTTTTATGTTTTGTTTTGTGTGGAAGGATATGTCTTCTTGCCTTCCTTTAATGTCAATCTTCAAAGGAACGTACTCGGTGAAGCTTAGTCAGGTCGGTACCCTTAATAACCTGAAATAAATTTACACCAGTTTATCCTAACCTTCTTTAACTTACATTCCTGTCTGTATTAATTCTTTTGGGGTATTATATTTCATCTGATTGCTTTACTTTCCTTCCTTTTTGGGAGAAGTACTTAAGTACTTTCTTACATTGGTACTAAATTCACTCTTTGGTGTTTCAAGGGGAACCTTCTCTATCTGTTATTCTGGGCTCTGGTATGTAAGCCCGTGTTTGCCTTTTTGGATTTGGTAAAATCTGATCATTTATGGGAATAGTGAAGGTCAGGCTTTGTGGTCCAGCCAACTTCTAGGGGAAAGCTCAGGGCGTGTACAGGAAACAGATGGCCAGAACCAGAAGTCAAGGGCTGCCTAAAGTAGTGGTTTTGATCTGAAGATAAAGGGCATATAAGACCTTGGGCAAGTCCCTTTTCCTTCAGCTTTAGACTTTGGCTTTCTCATTGGCAGCAGGAGTTGGTGTTTTCTTTGGGGGATTGGTGGTCATTTATACTTTCCTTTTCCTTTTGGTATTATCTAAGTTTCTTTTACAGTGATCATATATTACTTAAGTTAAAAACACATAAAACAATAAGGCAATTTTTTGTTTTGGAAAATGTGATTCCTCTGTCTTACATATTATGCTTGAGGAGACTTAACTTTCCTTTGGATTTGAGCAAATAAAGAAAGAACTCAACCCCGATCTGGAGTGGCGGTGGCATAAATTAGCAAAAACCAGAGTGGCCCCAAGGCCCAGAGCTGCAGGGACATTTATTCACTCACTCATTCAACAAAATTTTATTGGGCATCTACTCTGCTCCAAGCTCTATTTTGAGTACTGAGGACAGAGCAACAGAATGACAGAATTAGGAAGAGTGTGCTTAATGCTTTTCAACCTGTATAAAACCAAGTTATGATCAAGAAACTACATTTTTATATCTTCAAATACAGTATGTACCCTGATATTCATTGATATTTATCAAAGGTGGCTCACATCCTTTGTATGCTGTACCCCTGTAGACTGTGTAGAGGAAGAGAGGCTATGATTTTCCATCTGTTACCCACAAAGGCTTTCCAAATAAAAATGCCCTGCTATTTTAATTAGTTGTTATTGAGTTTGACTAGCAGGTGCAGTTCTACTTTGCAATGATAAATAATTTAAAGCTTGCACTCCCACCAGATGTTATAACCACAAATTAAAATAAGCCAGACTCTCATACATCTTACTCCTCCAAAATAGATCTTTGTGCCATGCTGGCTGCCATGTGCTTGGCATTTACTCACCGCATCACGGCTGCCCTGAGACTGGTGCACACACACCTCATTCTGAGGGTCGCAGCCCAGTCCATTTCAAATCATTCAGCTTCCCACAACCTACACTGTGAACCTAGTTCATCAAAAAGTCCCCCCTCTTTTTCCTGCCCCCCAGACTGTGCCTCTTTTTGCTACCCATCTTGTCCTTGCCCTTCCTTTGCCTTTCCCACTGAGTTCTTCAGATGAGGTCTTTAGATTGGCAGGAGGTACTTCACTCAGTCATCAAAACATGTATTGAGTATCTACAGAGTACAAGACACTATATTGAACCATAGGGATGAGTGGTCACCAGTCCAGGCAACGTCCCAATAGTCACCAAGCTCATATCCTAGGTGGATTAGAAACCTTAGAGCAACGATTTTCAACCTCTTTCATCTCATGGAACACATTAACTAATTACTAAAATTCTGCAGCACACCAAAAAATTATTCTATTTTTTGCCAATCTGACCGAAAAAAAAGGTATGATTTTGGTTCACTCACATCAGACAGCTATTGCTGTGTTGGCTGTTGTTATTATTTTATTTGACAGTCTAAGGAAAAAGAGGTCAGGTGTTGCATGTTTTAAAAATTCTTGTGACACACTGGTTGAAAATCACTTCTTTAGAGCGGTCTTTACCAAAATAGGTAGAAAAATGTTTCAGTAGACAGAATGCATTGTAATCAGTGGAAATTCAAATGCATTGTTTCTGTGCAAAGGACACTATTTGTACACACCTCAAATTAAATTGTATTTTTGAATCAATGACCTATTTGAAGAAACAAAGAAGTCATTAGCTTTGCTGTTTATTTTTCACCTCTCTCATGGGAAGAAAAAATAATAGGTGTATTCTGCTTCCCTTTCTATCTCTGTGCTTTGTCTAAATCCCTCTTGGCCTTTGTATCTGTATTTCTCAGAGCATCTTAACGTGTTGTGCCCCGGTCCATGTGCATCTTCATCAACATTGGTTGACTTGTTTTCAGATCCCCTCCCA